ATAAAGAGAGAGTCTGTGATGGCTCAGCGGAGGGGGGGGGGGTGTTAAACATATTCCTGCTTTAAAAATGTGGAGGACTTAACGTGATGTGCAGACGCCTCACCGACACGCACACAGATACAACAGCGCACACACGCAAGCTGTAGGTGATACTTCTGAAAGCAAATTTTTGCACTTGTGCGTTTGCACTCACACTGGAGCGTCGTTGCACCTTCCTGCTTTTCACGAGTTACCGGACTTAAATTGTAACACTTCTTAACTTTGCATTTATTTATTGTTTTGATTTTGCACACCTCCCTGCTCCACTCTTATTAGTTAATTTGTAACGTTTGACCATATGTGTTTCAAGGTGTTTGTTTTTTTTCTCAAATTCATTGCAGGACAACACACAAAACCAAAGAACCAAACCAAATACAAAAATATTTAAAATGCAAAGTAAAAGTTTTTTTTTAATGTTATGGTTCTTCTGCTCCATTATGTAGCATTAAATCTTTACTTGTACAAATTACAGGTAGTACTCCTTCACAACCATCCAGTGTTGTAGAATTTTGGTTTGTCTTACTGCAAGATGTTGTAATATTGCAGCATGTGGCTGCAAAAAGCTCCACGGCATTTACATCTGCATCCTCATGAGTTGGTGCATCACTCCCTGATTGCTCCCTTTTCCTCAAAACAATTTTACTAGCGCCGGGCTTTTTATTTAATAATGTGTTTCAGAGGCAGAGACAGGGCCGCTTCTCTTCTAAAAACAACTGGTCCTTTCACAGACCTGCAGACGCTGCAAATCATTCTGTATCTGTTCTACTAAAACTCATCATCGAGACCCTTTGGAGTCTAAAAAAGTGAATTAAAATAGTAAAAATACAAACACTTAAAAGTTTATCACGCCATAATTTAAATCTTTAAACATCATTATCATACATACTTAAACAGGAGTGTTTAGTGGTGTAACGATGACCTCTCTCGTTTATCTGTCATGTGAATCTGTGTAGCGGGGGCGGACTACTGCAGATGTACCCTGGTGGTGCTGCCGTGGCTCGTCATGCAGTGCGCTTTTATTTTGCAGTACCGTGATGCCACAAGCGCCAAATGATTTGCTGAATTTACTTAACAAAGTTATGTCAAGTGGTTCCACTCAATCGAGTTCAGTAAATGTAACAAGATTTACTTGCATTACTTGTGTAAATCTTATCTTTACTCAACTTGGTTGAGTGGAACCACTTGACATAACTTTGTTAAGTAAATTCAACAAATCATTTTTTTGAGTATACCTTCCTGCCAGTCAGCTGATCTGCCTCGGAGTGGACCCGTAAAAACAAGAACAATTGCTACAGGGCCGACAGCAGAGACCAGTACAACTTGTCCCTTTAAACCTCATCCTATGAAAATAAATCAGCTCTGTGGCACTTATTAAAAGCTCAGGAGTCACAAATCTACTGCCACAGAAACTAAACCTCTGTTTGTCTCTGCATTCAACAGGGATGTGCGGCGCTGTGACTCAGCTCATGTAAATTCTCTGTGGAACATTGCCTGTCTACCACCAGGGGCACCACTACTGGGAGGGGCGGGCGGGGGGTATCCTCTTGAGTCCCAAGCTTTTTTTTTGTGCTCATTTTTAATTTCCCAGTGCTATTTAGGATAATAGAAACTTCTAAATAAAATATATACAGTATATATACTGTATATATATATTGAAAAATTAAAAAGATTAAAAAATACAAATAGAATTTTTTTAATTAAAAACAAAACTTAAAATCTAGTCCCTCTTAATAAAGACACCAGTTTAAAACAAATGTCTTTAACTTCAGGATGCAGGTTCTCATGAGGTTAGAGGCATTAAA